AAGCGAGGCTTGTACACAAACCCTGTCGTGTCGCCCTGTGTACAGCACGGTCATCCACAACAAGACAAACACCGCTGTAAACGTTTTAACATTGGGAGTGCTCTTTTTTCGGTAGATCGGATCGATATGGAAAGATTTTGAAAGCATCTTTCAGGTATGTGCTGAATTTAAAATCGTGCACTGCAGCAACGAGAACCGGAGATAGTAAAAAAAAAAATGCAGCCCAGATGCCTGTGAACATTAATGAAATCAGAGCTGGCCAGCAAAGATTAAAATGTTGACTGAGATGCTGATTTAGTAACCTTTTTAATCCAGTGCTCTCGCTCTGTGCTCTTGCTATTAGTCCGCTCAGCATCCGCCCAGGCTACAAAACAACGATGTCCATTTCATATTCCTCCCGGTATTCCTCACATACTGGTTTACTTCAGTGTTTTTTTTTTAATCCTTTCGGAGTTGCAAATTATATCCCAACTCGAGATTTTTTTTTAATTCACAGCCCGCAACGTTAATGCGACCTCAATTCTTTTCTGTCCTTTTCCAACTCATCGCACCACACGGGGCAGGGAGATGTCCTCCGGGTCCTAACGCTCCCGCCCCAAACAAAGCGCAGTGCGAGTTACTCATACGCTCACTAACCTTTCTCTAGGTCGTCCGTCAATAAACCGCTGAGAGAAATGTTGCCATCAGACTGCAAGCCCAACAGTGCAATTTTGCAATTCACAAAGGGGCAAAAACAACGTTGCTCTATTAGACACTTTCTCCCCCCTCCACCCCCATGCGACTTCGCATTCATTTTTGCATGTTCTCTCTCTAACCGCTCACCCAACAAAACTAAAACACTTTGCAGATTTCTCGTCTCTCTCGTGATACTTTCGCGACTTCAAACTTTGGTGAGCAAAACTGTTTCCAGCTGGGTGCAGGTGCATTAATATTGTACTGATAAAGTACCCCATTCGAACACACAATCGGGACATTCCCTTGTTTCTTGCGCTATTGTAGCATATACTAGTTCAAGGACCGTCAAATCATTCTCCCTGTCCATAATTCAACACAAGCTCACGTTTCCACCATATTGTTACATTGAAAGCCTAGTTTTTGCATCTGTATTATGTAAAAGGCCACATACCATTTTAGAATGGCTTTGTGTTGTTACATATCTCTTGCACCATCAAAATTATTCTGAGATAGCATTCTCTTCTTCCCTCAGATCGCCTCATTTTTCAAACTACCTCTGCTTGCCCAAGAGTCAAAATAGTTCAATCACTGATTCATATTCCTGTAAACATACCTTAACATTCACTTGCAAGAAACATTTTGGATGTTAACAGGTGATTCATATCCAGGTATTAACCAAAAGTTTCTAAGCTTGGCGTTAAAATGAAAACAAAATAGTCTAAGTTTCCAAAGTTAGGATCTCTGGCATTGTTCTGTCACACTCTCAGCATTACAGTTATTATTCAATAATTGTGCAGCTACATCCTCATTTGTGCACTTCATTCACCCTGACAAGACTATCGATCTGTCACAAAGGAAAACAGGAATGAAAAACGTTTTGTGTATTTTGTACACAATAACAGATGGCTGGGGATGAATTACAGACATGTGGATGGTCACTCTTTGGTTTTGAATTGCATGCACACTCAAGACATCAGCACTCATGCAAATAAGCCCAAAACCAACTCTTGTCCTGACTAGCCCTTCTGCCACAAAGAAATAATAGATTATAGTTGGAACTTTTAGTACTAAAAAAATTCACAATAGCTGCTATTGAGCCTTGCAGTGTGGAAGCAGCAGATCTTATACTCTACTGAGCACCAGAAAAAAAGTGTAAAACAACGATTAATTTATATTGTAGTCTTCACTCTTAAGGGGATTATCCCAAAGCTAAATGAGCAAATTGTTGAAAAAATGTCACCATAACAATCTAGGAAAATAGAGGAAACAACTTTGCATGGAAACAGAGACATGGAAAATAATTTCTTGGAAGTAAAATGATCAAGAAATCTTCCAAGTCATTATTGGAGACTGAGAAAGTAAACTTCCAATAATTAACATACAGTAAATATCGAATTTACGATTACACTAAACTTCTTGGAATTCTTCAGCTGAAATAGATCTCAATTTCTTAATGTCTCAATGTCTCCAAATTTCCCTTACTCCTACTGCAGGCCGTTATCGCAAGAAGAGAGAAAGAAGTATTGCTGCAAACTTACAGAACATTGGAGAGACTGCACCTGCAGTAGTACACACAGTTTTGGTCTTCTTACTTCAAAAGGGGAAGTTACACTGAAAACTGTTCAGAGAAAGATCATTAGGTTGATTGCCGCAAAGAGGAGGTTTCTCGTGAAGGAAAGTTCAGCCCTTCTACCACTGATACAGTGGTGGCAGTGTACATCATCTACATGATGCACTCCCTGACATCACCATGGGAGTATCTACACCATACTGCTAAAGAAGGCAGCTCATCATAACCTTCCCAATGGCAAGGAGGAAAGGGTAAGAAATAATGGCCCAGCCAGTGACATCCAAATTCGAAAGAAGTACTTTTGAAGTGTAATCATTGTTGCAATGCAAGACGTTAGCAGTGACAATTTCAACTTGTACAAAGTCCCATATATCCGAAGGAAAAACCTGTGTTACCTCATTAGTACCCAATAAAGGTGACTGTCTACCACAACAATTAGATGCCCTAGACTGACCTACTGAAATTTTTAACTGATAATTATCAAGCTTCAGAATTCATCACATTCTAGCCAATGAACTGTCTCCAAAATTACAAATCACAGAAGGAAACTTATCTGTCCAGATTCACTGTTTTATAACTTGGCACATTCTGACCTTGAATGAAAATATCTAAAGTTTTAATTTCTATACATCTTAACCAGAGAAACAACAAATTGCATTAAAAATATCAAACCATAAGCACATTAAGATTCACAGAAAAGGCTAGGCTTGGAGAGAAAATGGCCTTTGACTGAAAACAAATTTTGTATGATAAGGTAAAGTACTGAGAGTTGACCCAGGTGGAACTATTACCATTTTGTATTTACATAAATGAGATGCTATTACACACTCTGGTGCAAGCAGGACTTGAACACAGTTCTTGCTGGCTCACAGGCAGGGACACTACCACTGCACCACAAAAGCCCCATTCCTGTTTATATCTGTCAGCCAGGGCTCCCTGATTGGACCAGATTAACAGCCCCAATCAGGGAACTCATTCTATGAGGTACACCTGGCTGACCTCATTATAATCATTACAGCTTGGACCCATGGATACTCAGTACCAGGTAGTCTAAACCAGAACAGACGAAGAATTGAAGATGATTATTTTTTGCACTATCATGTCATCTAGGATGGAGATATCTATCCAACCGCATTCTATTAGTATATAGCTGTTGAATTTCACACCACTACTCATAAATGAATGTGAAAAGGCTGCAGAACTTTCATCTGATCTGCTGATTGTACGATTGCTACAGACATATATGGTAGTTGCGTTGCAGCTTCACTATATTGGCACCTCATTTTAAGATATATACCTGATGCTTTGCTCTCCTACACAGCTCATCGAACCAGGGTTGGTTTGATGATAATGGGATAATGAGATAAGACATTTGAATTGGAACATTTAAAATCAATTGCTTTAATAGTGGCACTGAACTGTATTATTCTTATCTGTCTGCTCAATTCTACAGCTTCAACCCACGTATACTCAAAGTCCAAGCTTGCACTTAAAACACAGGAATTGGGAACATTGGGAAAGCATGCAATTTGACAGGTCAGATACAATTACAGTTATGAAGTGCAATAATTTGCAATGGGGATGGGGGTGGGTGGTGGGTGGTGAAAGTGAAAGTGAAAGAGGGGGAAAAAGGAAGAAACAAATATTCCCACAATGTAATGACCACATTTAGTACTATCCAGCTTCTACCATAATTAATGTTGCAAGTCCCGTTCCTCCAAAACCAAGTTGTCAATGATTAAATGGGAGAGATGGAGACGTTAGCCACACACAATCCACTATAGTTCTCATTTCTGGCTGTTTCACCAAATAGAGGATATTAATATGAAGAAAATAATTACAAGTGTAACAAATATTAGAAGAATTATGCTGCATGAGTGATTTGAACAGTTTGCCTCACTTTGTCCTTGAAGGGTCCCGACCCGAAACGTCAACTTTCCTGCTCCTCTGGATGCTGCCTGGCCCGATGACACCAAACCACATTTGGCAATCTTCAATCAGATGATCAAAGGCTTGTTCAAATAAGTTGGTTTTAAGAGGCGGAAAGCAGACCGGTGCAGGGTTGGAATCCCAGTTTAGAACCCCTTCAATTTTCCCTCTGAAATTACAGCATTCCATTATACACTTTTCACTGTACTTCAATACAAGTGACAATATTAAATAAATCTAAATCTAAATGACAAGGGACGGGGTTCCAATTGTTTGCCGAACTAACCTCTACTTTGCAAAAGCTGAACTGTTAACTCTCCAATACTACCTCTTGCATTTCCCTGGACTATGATCTCACCATCAAAATGAAGCCTTGGTTTCTAGTACAGTCATTGACCTCATCTACTCCAACAATCTCCCCTCTACAGCTTCCCACCACACAGCAGCTCAATCCCATACAGCTCTTGTTATCACATGGTCTGCTATTACATTAAACCCATGATATGCCCCATTAGCAGTTTTCCATTCTCCTAAGATAGACTTACAAAGGAATGGATATTGGCTAACTGTTCTTCTCTCTCTTTGGGCTGTATCTCCACCTATCATTTACTCCTTAATCCTTCCCCACAATCTATCTTCTGCACGAAAACCAACTATTTCCTAGCTATCATCAGTTCTGAAAAGGGATCACTGGATCCGAAATGTTTACTCTGATTTCCCTCTCCAGATGCTGCCAGATCTGCTGAGATTTTCCAGGAATTTGTGTTTTTGTCCCAAACAGCTCACACCTACCTTCTTTGCAAGATCCGTGAACAGTACTGCTCTGGTAAACCCATCATTTCAGCTGTTTCTACCCCAGTGAACTGACTGCGAATCATACAGCACAGAAACAGACCCTTTGGTCCAACTCGTCTGCGCTGAACAAACATCCCCAATCTGATCTAGTCCCATTTGCCAGCATTTGGCCCATATGCCTCTAAACTCTTCCTATTCATATACCCATTCAGATGCCTTTTAAACGTTATAATTCTACCCACCTCCTCTACTTCATCTGGCACCTCATTCTATACACGCACCATCCTCTGCGTGAAAAATTTACTCCCCTCTCACCTTAAATCTATGCCTCTAGTTTTGGACTCCGCCCCCATTCTAGGAAAAAGACCTCGTCTATGCACCGTTTCCATGCCCTCACGATTTTATAAACCTCTACAAGATCACTCCTCAGCCTCCTACGTTACAGGGAAAAAAAGCCCAAGTCTATTCAGCTTCTCCCTATAGCTCTAACTCTCTAGTCCCGGCAACATTCTTGTAAATATTTTCTGCACTCTCTGAAGTTTAACAACATTCTTCCTATAGAAGGGTGACCAGAATTGTACACAGTATTCCAAAAGCGGCCTCACCAATGTCCTGTGCAGCGCCATCGACCTATTATCCCACTAAGATCAATCTACCCTGCATACCTTACATTTCACTATCTTCCATTTGCCTATCCAAGAGTCGCTTAAAAGTCTCTAAAGTATCTGACTCCACTACCACTGCCGGCAGCGCGTTCCACACGCCCACCGCTCTGTTCTGTACTGTTCTGTGTTCTATGACTGAACAAGAATTAGAGGGATTCTTCTTCCCCCAGCCATGCCAAAATAAATCTCTTGCATGTCAGAGAAGACCAAAAAAATGCACTTCTTCAACTAGAGACCATCTCCGTTCTGCATCCAGCTGTGGTAGCTCAATTTCAAGAAGCCATTTTTCTCTGATGACCTCACAACTTCTGTCTAGATGTTAAATTCATTGATTTGCAGCGAAGTCTGTAACCTTTCTGAATAGCTTCCTCTTTCCTCATCCCCACTACAATCTGAAAACACATCAAGTGTACATTCAGGTAGAAATGGCATCCTTGATCCCAGCTCCCTTTTATCTTAGAAATAAAGTAGACAGTTTGTGGCATAACTGTTCACAACTAGGTATCTACAGCATTTCTCTAACCTTGGAAGACTCAGGCTGCAGCTATTGTCTCCAGCATAAATACCTAGTACTTTCTTCTTAGTAAAACAATCCAAACATTCCATTGATCTTTAACAATCAATCCATCCAGGCTTACTGTTAGGCAAATGTCGGATAAATCACATGACCCAACTTTCATTTATCCTAAATTTAAAAATAAATCTCACAACAGTCTCAAATTATATAATGGAAGAAAAGCAGCACCAGATTTAATTCACCAGAAATGTTAGTTTTATATAAAGAAAAACATTACAATGAGGTATTTTGTATAAAAGAAACTGAAGTTACAGAACGGGTGTGAAGAATCTTCCTATACAGTCAGAGAAGCATTCTAATCTAATCTATCAAAATGAATTCACAACTTTAAAAAAAAGAACAAAAATATACTGGTCAATGTAGCATCAGCATAAAATACAAAAAACTACATACTTGCCTTTACTGCGCTGACAATTTGAACTTCACCCTTCCGACCAAAAAAATCAATTTAAACTTGGCAGATGGCAGGTTCTAATTTCACAGCTTGAAAGACTTAAGTAGGGCTGTATTATTGCACAGTAAATGTATACATTTTTGGGCAGAAACGTATGGCCTCAGAACAAAACATAATACTGCAACACCTGCCGTAGGAATCCTTCAGATTGAATGACATGTTATAGAATTTCCTGCAGCATTTCTCATAGTTGGGAAACAGTGAGAAGGATGGTATAACTGAGAAAGGCAGGCAGAAAAGAGATTTGCACACTACAGGCTGAAAGCTAAACATTTCGACTACAAAGATGAGTTTTAAGAATAGAGGCCACCAGTTAGAGCATTAGGAAGCAGGGTACGAGAAAGACCCTGAATTTCGAGGACAGGCTTCGACATGAGGATGAAAAGGGAGTTACAGTATTCAAGTGGACAAGTATTAAAGCAATAATAGGACTGGAGTATTTTGCTGCAATGTATCAGGACAGGAGTTAAATCAGAAAGGAAATATAAGTGCAGAATGAGTAAGGACCATCAATAGGTAAGGATCAGTAAAACAAAAGACAAAGTAACAACATAGGAACGGGGTGAGTGAAGTTGAGAGAGGCAAGTCTGAGGAGGATGGTAAGGAGATGATGTTGGCAATAAAACTTGTGTGGGAAGGAAACAGGTCAGAATTAACCAAAGATAGTAGGAACTGCAGATGCTGGAGAATCCGAGACAACAAGGTGCAGGGCTGGATGAACACAGCAGGCCAAGCAGCATCATAGGAGCATAAAGGCTGACATTTCGGGCCTAGACCCTTCATCAGAAAAGGGGGAGGGGAAGGGGATTCTGAAATAAATAGGGAGAGAGGGGGAGGCGGATAGAGGAGAAGATAGGTGGAGAGGAAACAGACAGGTCGAAGAGGCGGGGATGGAGCCAGTGAAGGCGTGTGTAGATGAGTGTAGATTGTAGCCCAATGGTATCAATGTGGATTTCACAAGCTTCAAAATCTCCCCTTCCCCCACCACATCCCAAAACCAGCCCAGCTCATCCCC